GCACTGCTTGAAATATTGGAATTTTCTACCAGATAAAGGAGTTGAGATTCTGAAGGCACCAGGGAGACTTCTTAATGCCAAAATTCCCCCCCCTCACAACCTGCCCCCAATTCGTGTAGCCCCTTATGAGATACACCATAGCCTGTCCCAAGGCACATGGCCGCTCCTTTAATAGCCCATCATATTCCTTAGAGTGAATTGAGAAGCTGTCTGTACTAAAAATTCCTTTCTTCTTTGGTGATCCTTGTTGTCTCAGTAATTGGACCTTTGTGTGACCAGAGCTGGACCTAGACGGAAACTCTTGCAGTCCTAACAGGTGCTTTTAAATGTGAGAAACTAAAGAAATGATCAAATAAGTCGTGGCACTTAAGAAGCTTATTGTATTATTTTGAGTGGAAGTAAAGGTTCACAGATTCCATGTTAATCAGGATGTTTTTGATTGTGGCAGAAACTAATTTTAAACTGGCTTAAGCAAAAAGGGGAATTTATTGGCTTATATAAGTGAGAAGATTGGTCTGGGGCATGGTTGGATCCAGATGCTTAAAATGTCTTATCTAAAATTTATCTCACTTCATTCTATCTTAGGTCTATTTTCTTAGGGCTTGGATTCTCAGGCAGCTTCTTAGTCGTAGCAATGATGGCCTCATCAGGGCCAGACTTGGCATCACATCAGATTAGAAACATCAACAAAAAACTTCCTTTTCAAACAGTTTTAGCAGAAGTCCTGGGGTTATCACTGAAGGGTCAGATTTGTATCTTTTGGAATGGTTGGCGGTGGGGATGAGGTGGAGGGTAGAGACTGTCCAGTTCTAACTACAGGAGATAAAAGGTAGATCAGCATCTTCAGAAGGGAAGCTAACTATAGGTTCTACTGCCAGAAGCAAAGATGTTGAGCAGGCAAAAACAGCAAAAAGTCTACAAATACAAAGAGGAAAAATATGTAGTAAAAATCTTTGGCTAGCCTAAAAAGATGAATTCTGTTAAGAGCTGCTTAGGAAAAGCTTCTGGGAGGAGATAATATTTGAATTGGGCCCTGAAGGACAAGTAGAATTTTTCTAAGGCGTACCACATAACAAAAGGACTTTACTGGTCACTCATTTAAGAAGTTTGGCTGTGAATAAAATTAAAATGGAAGCTACTGGAGCCTAAAGGGGAATGTTAAGATTGTTTTTCCTTCCCAATATGGAGAAAACATAAGCATATTTATGGCAAAGGACTCTAAGCTACTAAAGGAAAAATTAACAAGGAGGGAGAGGGGAATTTGGTGGGGTTAAGGATATGTGGAGGATGTGACCTTAGAAAGGATAAGGAGAACTGCTCTTTCTCTGAGGATGTGAAAGGTGGTGGTAGTAGAAGTTAGAGAAGTTTGACTTCAGATAGTTAAGTGGGTTTCCTTTTGTCTTTTAGAAGGAAGAAGGAAAGGTTTGTTAGCTGTCTATTGCTATGTGACAAACCACACCAAAATGATTCTGTGGGTTAGCAATTTGGCTTGAGCTGAGCTGGGTGGTTTCTTCTGCTGGTCTTGACTTGGGCCACTTATGTAGCTGTGGTCACCTGGAGTATGGATGGATGGTCAAAGACGTAGCTTCACTCACATTCCTGCTGGTTGGTTGGCTGTTGGCAGGGCTTCTCTCTCCTGATTCTGTCTTATCATCAATAAACATTCATGTGACAGTGGCCGCATTTCAAGAGAAGAGCTGAAGCTTTAAAGCCCTCATATGTGTATGACCTACTCTTGGAACTCTGCTCCCGCAGTGTCACTTTTTCCCTTTGTGTTGGTCAGAGCAAGTCACAAGGCCAGCTCAAATCAAGAAAGTAGAGAAATAGAACCCCCTCTTTATGGGAAGAGCAAAAAAAAAATCACACTGGGCTCGGCGCCTATAGCTCAACCGGCTAAGGCGCCAGCCACGTACACCTAAGGTGGCGGGTTCGAATCCCCAGCCTGGACCCGCCAAAACAACAATGACGGCTGCAACCAAAAAATAGCCGGGCGTTGTGGCGGGCGCCTGTGGTCCCAGCTACTTGGGAGGCGGAGGCAGGAGACTCGCTTGAGCCCAGGAGTTGGAGGTTGCTATGAGCTGTAATGCCATGGCACTCTACCCAGGGGGACAGCTTGAGGCTCTGTCTCAAAAAAAAAAAAAAAAAAAAATCACACCGCAAGGTGGGAGGAGGGGGTATGTATATTGGAATAAGAGGAATTTGTGTCCATTCTCCACCATCCAACATTTTATTATGAAAAATTTCAATCATGGCAGCTAAGGTAAAAGAATTTCAAAGTGACTACCCACATACCTACCACCTAGAGTCTACTATTAACATTTTTCTTTCTTTCTTTTTTTTTTTAATGTAGTAGAGTAAAAGTTTATTAGAAGGTAGTAAATGTTCTAATACAGGCTAGACTTGGTGGTTCATACCTGTAATCCTAGTGCTTTGGGTGGATCATCTGAGCTTAGGAGTTTGAGACCAGCTTGAGCAAGAACAAGACCTAGATTTTACTAAAAATAGAAAAACTACCCAGGCATTGTGGTGGGCACCTGTAGGCCTATCTACTCTGGAGGCTGAGGCAAGCAGATCACTGGAGCCCAAGAATTTAAGGTTTCTGTGAGCTATGATGCCATGGCACTCCACCCAGTGTGACAGAGTGAGTTTTTTGTCTCCCCCCACCCCCAAAAGCTTCTAATACAATGGAAGGTATCTGGATTGGGTTGCCCCCATCTCCCTTTTTTATAGATAGGGTCTCACTCTATCACCCAAGCTGCAGTGCAGTGGCCCAATCATAGGTCACTGGCACCTACTGGGGTTAAGCAATCCTCAGCTTTCTGAGTAGCTAGGACTACAGGCATGCACTACCACACCTGACTAATTTTTAAATTTTTTGTAGAGATGGGTTTTCCTTTTGTTGCCCAGCCTGGTCTCAAACTCCTGACCTCAAGTGATTCTCCCACCTTGGCCTTCCAGAGTGCTGGGATTACAGGTGTGAGTCACTACAACAGGCTTTAATGTTCATCCATCCATCATCCTTCTATTTATCAGTTTTTCTTATTTTTTTTTTGGTGAATTTCAAAGTAAATTGTAGACATTAGTACTTTGCACATATTTAGCAGGAATTCAGTAGTTAGTTTTTTTCCTTTTGATATAAAGTTCACATATAATGAAGTGTATCTCTTTTAAGTGTACATTGTGGCTATGTTTTGCAGTATACCACAGAAGCAAAAAATTTGGAATAACATCTCAGTGAAATGGCTCAGAAATTAAACTGTAGTTGTATAAAAAAAAATTACAAGTAATATTCCAAGAACATTCCTTGAATACCTTTTGCTTCATATTCTCACTAATAATTTTTCCCTTTAGTATTACCTCATCACTTAGGATCTTCATTTGCGTTATATTAATTTGAATTCACTTTGGATTTTTCCCTACCTTCTGTCACTAAGCATTTACTAATCATATGCTGTAGGTAAACAATAATATTTGCCAGAAAAAAAGACCATGAGATGTAAACAAGGGCCCTCTTGTTTTGTAGGTATTTAAGTGTATCATAAATTGGATAAGATAACTGATAGATACCATCATTTAAGGTTCATGCTGAAGGCCAGTGCTAAGCACTTTTTTTTTTTTTTTTACGTTTTTTTGAGACAAGGTCTTGCTCTGTGGCTTAGGGTAGAATGCAGTTGTGTCATTGTAGCTCACTGTCATCATCAAATTCCTAGGCTCATTCGGGGACTATAGGTCCATGCAAGCACATTTGGCCTATTTTTTCTAATTTTAGTAGAGACTGAGGCCTCCCTCTTTCTCAGGCTGATCTCAAGCCTCTGACCTCAAGTGATCCTCCTGTCTTAGCCTCCCAGAGTACTATGATTATGGCATGAGCCACCATGACTGGCCTAGTGTTTATATCTGACATGGGCCTCTCAAACTGTTACAGTGTGGTACATTACTATTCTGATGTTAAAAAAAAATAGTGTAACCAAAGTATGTGACAAATGCAGCCATAATTTAACCTTTGAGTGGAATATTACAGCTTCTTATATCCTTAACATTTTGGTTTTATTATTTGAATCTATATTATACATTTTCAACATTTCTAGAAGATTATAAACCCTTATCAGTTTATTATATTATATTTTGATAGAATAGTAGTCTTTTTTTTTTTTTTTTGAGACAGAGCCTCAAGCTGTCACCCTGGGTAGAGTGCTGTAGCATCACAGCTCACAGCAACCTCCAACTCCTGGACTCAAGTGATTCTACTGCCTCCGCCTCCCAAGTAGCTGGGACTACAGGCACTCGCAACAATGCCCGGCTATTTTTTGGTTGCAGCCATCATTGCTGTTTGGCGGGCCTGGGCTGGATTCATACCCACCAGCTCAGGTGTATGTGGCTGGCGCCTTAGCCACTTGAGCCACAGGCGCCGAGCCAATAGTAGTTTTTTATTGACTAGGTATTCAGTGTTTTTATTGCTAATTGTTTTTTGTTGTTGTTGTTTTGTTTGGGGCCAGGTTTGAACCCACCACCTCTGGTATTTGGGCCTGGCGCTCTACAGGTGCTGCCCTTGCTAATTGTTTTTTGAGCAATTATCAAATAGCAAAAAATCAAAAGCCCTTTTGACTTGCTATCTACATAACAGGGAACCCTGTCTGAACTCTTGAAAATAAAGAGATTAACACTTCAGTCAATTTCATGCTGGAAATTCTGTCAGAAGTGCCACTGGTTAACTGTGGCTGTTGTGACAGCTGAAATCAAAGCTTCTTAAGTTTATTTTACTATGCAGCATCCTGTTAGGTCAGGAGTGTGGTAAAGTCATATATGGCTAAACATGTTCCTTAACCAATGATATATAAGGTATTAAGTGTTCCTTCACACAGATTTTACTCACCTGTTTTATGTATTTGATAGTGTATTTTTGTAAATTGCTTCAAATACTAAATCATATGGGATAGGCTGTAAACAGATATATTTGTGTTTAGAAGATCTAATTAAAGTATGTTTATTTTTATGTATAGGTATTACTATTTTGGAAGCTACGAGAAAATATAGATTAGGGACAAATTTGGTCTTTTTAGTGGACATGGCTCAGATATCCAGCAACAATGGATTTAAACAGTGTTCATCTTCACATCCGGAACCAACAAGAACAAAAGATGTGGACAAAGAAGAAGCATTACAGATGGAAGCAGAGGCTTTAGCAAAACTGCAAAAGGATAGACAGGTGACTGTCAATCAGAGAGGCTTCGACTTGTCAAACAGCACCAAACAAAAAGCACAAGTTTATAACAACCAGGATTATGATCTCATGGTGTTTCCTGAATCAGATTCCAAAAAAACAGCAGTAGATATTGATGTAGAAAAGCTTACCCAAGCTGAACTTGAGAAATTATTGCTGGATGACAGTTTTGAGACTAGAAAAACACCTGTATTGCCAGTTACTCCTGTTCTGAGCCCTTCGTTTTCTGCACAGCTCTATCTTAGACCTACTTTTCAGAGAGGACAGTGGCCACCCGGATTACCTGGACCTTCTGCTTATACATTACCTTCTATTTATCCTTCAACTTATACCAAACAGGCTGCATTCCAGAATGGCTTCAATCCAAGAATGCCTACTTTTCCATCTACAGAACCTATATATTTAAGTCTTCCAGGACAGTCTTCATATTTTTCATATCCCTTGACACCTGCCACACCCTTTCATCCACAAGGAAGCTTACCTATCTATCGTCCTGGTGTCAGTCCTGACATGGCAAAATTATTTGACAAAATAGCTAGTACATCAGAATTTTTAAAAAATGGAAGAGCAAGAACTGATTTGGAGATAACAAATTCCAAAGCTGCAGTCAGCAATCTACAGGTATCTCCAAAGTCTGAGGATATCAGTAAATTTGACTGGTTAGACTTAGATCCTCTAAGTAAACCTAAGGTGGACAATGTAGAAGTAATAGACCACGAAGAAGAGAAAACTGTTCTAAGTTCACTAGCAGAGGATCCTTGGGACGCTGTTCTTCTTGAAGAGAGATCACCAGCAAGTTTTCACCTGGAAAGAAAGGTGAATGGAAAATCCCTTTCTGGGGCAACTGTAACAAGAAGCCAGTCTTTAAATATCCGAACAACTCAGCTAACAAAAGTCCACGGCCAGATATCTCAGGTATAGTCTTTTCTTTCTAACTTCTCAAACTTTGTAGCAAAACTCAAGAGTTCATATTTGTGTGCATAAGGAAAAGAAAATTTTTTCATTTTGAATCTTATATTTCTTTGCTCCCAGGTGTGCTTTGATTATTTGATTTAATCCTTTGGCAAAGGATTAAATGTGATTAGGCCAATTGAAAAATTGCTTGCGGCTCGGCTCCTATAGCTCAACCGGCTAAGGCGCCAGCCACGTACACCTAAGGTGGTGGGTTCGAATCCCCAGCC